ACCACTTAATCCTTAATCTTTGCTTCCAATAAAACTCCTCAACTCTATGAAGATCAAGAAAAGATTTCAACTTCGAACTCCTTTCACCCATCAACTCCTCAATCAACACACCTGCTGATTACACATGCTGGTCCAAGGTTTCAATTTCAAATAAGGCCTCATCAATTTTAGACTGAACATTGTACTTATTCTCTTTCTTCCAAGCGATGAGTTTATGTTTGATGTTGATCAGCTTTTTGTGTAATTGAAAATCTAAGGATCCAATAGAAATTGTATTATGCCAGGTCGTTTTAATGACATCTACCACCGTCTTGTCTTCCAACTACCCAATATCAAGCCTAAAAAGCTTTAGCCACCTCAATCCCTGCTGGTCTATAAAAAAATGGGGACATGATCAGAAGAAAGACATGGAAGAGCTCTAACAGAGACAAGAGGGAACACATCTACCCAATCTGCAGATACCAAAAATCTATCAAATTTAGACATTGAAAGACTAATAGTACTATTATTCGACTAAGTAAATTTAGTCTTAACAATCGGTAGATCAAAGAAAGAATGACTTTCTATAAGTCTATTAAAAATCATAGACAAGTTAATAGGACAACCTGCCGAACATTTACCTGGCCACCTAATGAGATTAAAGTCACTCCCTATACACAGAGGAAATTGAAATTGTTGAATTACACTATTCATATCATTGATAAAACCTTCCTTAAGAGCAGGGTTAGGGCCATACACATTCATAATAATCCAAGAAAACCCATAGATAAAACCATGAAAGCCAAGAAATAACAATCTATCCCGAAGAACAATCTCATAATTATGAAGAACAAGAGGGTCCCACAAAACCCATAAACCATCAGATGCTCCAACAACATCAATACCACAAAAAGAGACAGCCCTTGGCCCCAAACCTCTCTAGCCTCAAAAACACTAAGACTGAGGAGTTTGGTATCCTAAAAAAGTAAAATCTAAGGCTTAAATTTAGAAACAAAAAATGAGATATCCCTCTTACTCCTAGGGTCACCCAGACTCATAATATTCCAAGATAGAATATTCATAAAGAAGGAGGTTTAAAGGTGGAACTTGGTTCACAGGACCTGCACCAAAGTAAAGTTCCTCCAGCATCAAGGCTTCATTGAAAGCAGCAGCATCCAAATACTCTGACGAGTCTGAAGTGACATCCGAGATATCAATTAGTACTGGTTCCTTACCTAGAGACACTTTCGGCTTCTCAATACTCTTGATGATGCCACGGGCCTCAAGTCTGGCTGAAGACCTCGATCCCAAATAAGGAAACTTCTTAGACTTAGAAATTGTCACGCCTCAAGAATTTACAATATTGATATTCCTGAGATGTGACAGTCAAAACATATATACATCTCTTCTTAAGACAAATTTACAATGGCGAATTCTTACAAAGTAACAAAAGAAAGTTTAAGCACAACTACAATATCTTCCAGAGTTGATCCTGACGAGCACTTAAAATGAAACCGCAGTTATCCTGGAAAAAATGTTTACCATAATTTGATGAATTTGGCTACTCAGTAAGTGATCATCATAATCCTAAAAATAGACATGGTTGAAAGATATCAATATTTTAAAAAAGGAGATCTATTAATAGAAATGCAACAACAATTTCACTTTAAAAAATGCATAATTAAGTATAATTCGAATAATTGAAATACGTATAACATTTTTACGACAGTGCGTAATTCAAAGGATTTCACAAATTACCCTACTAGCATCCCCAAGTAGGTCACCTATATACCCCATCAGCATCTTGATGGGTCCATTTAATCCCTATCGGCGTCTCAGATAGGTCCACTTAATCCCTGAAGGTCCACTTATACCTCACCAGCGTACCGGATGAATCCACTTAATCCCTATCGGCGTACCGGATAGATCCACTTATACGTCACCGGCGAACCGGATAAGTCCACTTGCGTACTTAAAGTATTTATAAATCTCTTTAAACATTCGAAAGCAGAAATATCATGTACTCAACATATCACTGACATTATTAATATGAATTTCACTGAAACCATTAATAATAGTCACTTTCAATAACATTTAAAAAATAACCAGTCAAATATTTTGGGCTCAAATTTATAAAGGTAGCAGTTCATAAAGACATTCTAGCATAATTGCCAATCTAATATGTATAGAAAAACTCTTATAGAAATTTAAGAATACGGAATTATCACAATTTATGGGATGTCAATTCGCAAATAAACATTTCACAGACAATGCTATAATCAATTGCAAAAATATCCGTTTTCAAATAATAAGGCAGTCATTTGCACATGAATTTTACAATGTCTAAATATTCAAAGACAGTAGAAAGAAATCTCACAATTTTACTAAAAGCAGAAATATCACATTTATTTCTAATAATATTATAGTATTTAAAATTCTCTAACAATAGACAAGAAAAATAAATTTATTTCTAAGAATTTACAGCATTTAAAATTTCTAACATAGATAAAATATCACATTTCTATTAAAAGATTATTTTTCAAAATAATGAGGTCGTTTGCGCATAAAATTTATCGCGCCTAAAATTCATGATAATAAGCAGAAGTAATTATTTCATTTCATTTTTAAAAAGAACGGATTATTTTTCAAGATAATGAAGTCACTTACTTATAATATTTGAGTGTTTGAGTGGGATTTTCGGTAAAATTGGCTAGAGAGAGAAAGAGCTCACTGCGTTTCGACTAGAGAGAGAAAGATCTCAGTGTGTTGGGAGAGCTTATACAAAAGTTTTCTAGGGTGGGGGTCCTCACCTCTCCTATTGAAATTCTTAAAACACATTATTATATTATTTATTAAGCTCCACCTCTCACATGAGGTGTGACAATAATATTATACGTGAAACGTTTAAGGCCCACGTCAACTAAGGACGTGGTATATGAAAGGAAAAAATTAACAAAAGTGGTGATGGTCCCTAAGGACCATAATACTTATATGGACCATTACACTATAAAAAATTATTTATCTATTTATTTATTTTTTATTTTTTTTGAAAGTTTAGGATTGTTACAGAAACCTTTCCGACTTTGATAGGGGTTTTGTCATAACTCCCCTCTCTGTACCAAACAACCTCCGTCCCTGATACCACAATACTTCTAGCTTTCTTGATCTACTTCATCTCATTGAAGAAGACCCCAATGGGGACGTTGAAGTCCAGACCCATATCAAAAGCTATAACAGCAATCTTCGACTCGACTCTTCAGGGTCAGCAGCAATAGTCTCAGAAACAAACGCCCCATCCTTAACAGTTACAAGTGGTACCTCCAAAAGCCATAAAGGATAAACCTCCATTTGGGGGATAACACTCAAAGGGTCAACCGTCTCAGAAACTGCCAAGGCAGTGTTTGGATCAAATGGGGCAACCTCTTACTGTTCCCGATCAATATGCATTGGCAGCATGTGTTCACGAAGAAGTAAAGCCAGACCCTCATCATCAGACTCCACCACCATCACAGCAAGGGGATCAATGAGAAGGGGATCAAACCTCACTCTAGCCTTAAGTGGTTGACCCTTGTTAGTAGCAGTCCTATAAGGCAATGGGTACATGATTTTCTCCAGCCAAGTAAAAAACACAACGAACCAGGCTTTGAGCACCAAGTCCAGCAGTGCCCCTTTCTTAGCCAAGGATAGAAGAATGAAACTCCAACCAAGAAATCTCTTCTCCTCCAAGAGATTATCCCTTTCCCTCACCGACTTACAAAAAGAAGGCTTCTCGGTACGGAAAAGATGGAGTTGCAGGCAATCCACAATGACAATCTCGCGGTCGCTTTCCAACGACAGATCATCATGAAGATATGCCTTGGAACTCAGAGTGAAAGCCACGTGCACAAAAGCGCCTCCTGGCTGCAACAAAAGACTTGCGGGATCACAAATCTCATGTGGACTCAAAATAGGGGAATCAACTTGAAATGCCGAAAAGTCACGAGAATGCTTCTCCAGTTGAGGCAGAGTGTGAGACAAAAAACCCTGTGTCCACTCCAGGAACCTTCCAATAGGGACCTATTTTTTAGTCGAATTACACCAAAATTATATGTTTTGATTAAAATTTAGAGGTGCACCTTAATTGGATTATTTAAGATTGCGACTTTATAGAAACCACACCCATTATTATAAGCTATATTCAATAAACTACAACTTATACGACTCACATTTGTGGACTATAAAAATTTGGGTAGGCTTGGTTTGGGCCAAGTGGTGAAGGCTAGTCCTGGGATCGGCCTCCGGACAATCAGTCTAAACATTGACTCTAGCTCAAATGTTAGGCCTAGCTTCATGAGGTTGTTTTGGGTGTCGCTACTTTTCATCCTAAGACAATTTCCGTTAAATAAATGAATTTGCAGAGGAAGTCAATTACCCAAAAGAAAATTAAACTATAGACTAATTTATATACGGACCTTAAAACTTTACTTAAAACATGAAATCCTCCTTATAGGCCAAAATTACGAAGGTCTGTCAACCGGCGGTTTTTTTTTTTTTCCCCCCTAAATAGTGCTTTTGTCAGAGGATGGTATCCTCGGACTGTATTTTAATTTATTTATGTTTTAGTTTTTTTGTTAATAGGGCAGTGCTCCAAGCTTCAGGGGCAGTTCGAGATTCAAATCCTCATACCGATGCTGCTATTTATCTCAAAAAATAAGAAAGAAAGAGCGGTCCAAGGATTCGAACCTCAGACCACCTAGCACTGCCTTTAGAGCTCAGGAAACTGCCCTACTAATTAAAATAATAAAAAAAAATTAAAATTTAGTGCGAAGATGCCATCCACATACCAAAAGATATTTGAAAAAAAATAAAAAAACATTGACCGTACCTTGGTTGTAATTTCCTCCCGTAAACATAGGCGTTTCTTATTTGAGGTAAAATTTTGTGTAGCGTTTCGTATTTGAGGTAAAATTTTGGGGCCCTTGAGTAGCGTCTCGTATTTGAGGTAAAATTTTGGGGCCCTTGATATGTCATCAGACCATATATTGCTATTCACACTACATTGATTTTGCTGAGCAACAAGCATCATATACGTAGAATCCATGATTGAAGATTTAAGAAAAAAGAATAGGAAACTTAATGAACCCCAGCAGCGGGGAATGACCCAAAGGGAAACTATGCACAATAACACCATATACTAGACATCATATACCATACATAAGTGGTGCATGATGTAATTTTCAGTTGCAGACATTCTCCCAAGCCAGGCAAAATTGATCTCAGCGATCCAGCATCACGGACATGTAGCAGACAGCCTCATGGTATACCTGTATCAAGCACCATACGTCGCACCATTATACACATGTAGGGTATGGTATTTCGGCCGGAATGTCCCTTGTCCGGCAGGATTGCGGCACTGCCGTCACCTCACCTCGGACCGGACACCTCCTGTGCAGAAATGTAATACTCAGTGAGCGTTGTGGGCGCCAAAGAGCCACTGGACGATGCAGTCCCGTGGTTCGGTCCCCTCTCGCTCTCAGATCCGAGCCTCGACGGTTCACTGAACCTCCGCCCATAGAACCTCAAAAATGTAAGCGACTCGACCCTCGGCTCACCGACTTCCACTCGCCCCTCCAACATCGCCACCACCGCAGCCATTGACGGCCTCAATGCTGGTTCCTGGTGCACACAACACAAAGCCACACGCACCACACGCCGCACCTCCTCTGCATCCACCTCCCCCCCGAGCCTTGGGTCCACTAGCTCCATGTACCGCCCATTCTCATGCATCTCAAGCGCGAGCATCGGGAAATACTGGCCCCCGCCTCCCCCGAGACAATTTTTACGGCCCCTCACGATCTCGAGAAGAACCATCCCAAAACTATACACATCGGTCTTCTCCGAGATGGCGGCGGTGGTGAGCCACTCAGGCGCGAGGTAGCCCCTTGTGCCCCGCATCGTGGTGAACATCTCAGACTGTTCCCGCGTCAAAAGCTTCGACAATCCAAAGTCTGAGAGCTTCACCTCCCCCGAATCATTGAGAAGTATGTTCTCTGGCTTCACATCGCAGTGGATGATCTTCTGCCGGCACCCGCCATGAAGGTATGCGAGCCCCCGTGCTGCACCAAGGGAGATCTCAACCCGCTCGCCCCAGCCCAGCACGCGTGCACCACCCTCAAACAGAGTGCGGTCGAGTGAACCCAGGTTCATGTATTCATAGACTAGAAGCCTTTGTGCCCCCTTTGTGCAGAAGCCGCGCAGTCGAACCAGGTTCACATGGTGGATACTCCCAATCGTCGCGATCTCGGTGTAGAACTCACGTTTCCCTTGGATTCCGACGCTGTTAATCCTTTTCACGGCGACCACAGTCGTGTCAGGAAGCACGCCCTTATACACCGCACCGAACCCACCTGACCCGATTTGGTTCTTGAAATGCTCCGTGGCCAACTCAAGCTCTGAGAAACTGAATCGAACAGGGAGACCTGGGATCAACTTGAATTCTAAGTCTGAGTCTGAATCTACCATCTTTGCTGCCTTTTTAGCCACAGGTTTCGACGAAGTCTTCCGCCACCAAGTGATTCCACCTGCCAAAATAGCCGTGATCAGCAATGCTCCACCGATCGGTGCGAGTATAAAGGCCACAAGAGGCACGGCTTCGGAGTCGACTCGGTGGCCATCTTCTATGGCTGCAAGCACTTTGAGATACCCAGAGCTACGCGAGTCATCGCCAACCCGAACTGATCCGACCCGATCCCGAAGCAAGAAGCAGAACCCTGTCTGGTTAGAGTAAAAGAACCCGCGGCATGTACAGTTGCCCGTGCACAGCGCCTCGCACCCAGACTGGTTAACAGACTCGATAGGCTCGGAGTACCGGGTCGCAAAATAAGTGACCCTGGTACCAAAACTGAGGTACTCGATGGACTTGTTTGATGCACACGAGGGTGCAGAGATGGGGGGTGTGCACCCGTGGCTTGGGTCAGCTGAGTCGGCAGCTGGAAAACTCGACGGACAGCTGCAATATGGAGACCCTGCACCTGCCGACGTTCTGCATAGCCCGATACTACCGCAGGCCAAAGGACAAGAGCATGGATCATCAGGCCTCACAAAGTCTTCATTCCATGACCCAGATGCAAAGCTCAGGACAGCGAACCGGCTGTCGGGATACACCGTAGCTAGCCGGAATGCAGCTGCCGGTAAGCTGACTTGCCATATTACGACCACATCTGGAGAGCCTGGCTCACCTGAAAGTAGATAGAGGCCCGAAGAGTTAACAGCCATTTGCGTTACCCGCCCGTTTGCGTCCTTCGTTGCGATCGGATCATTTGCTAGACTCCAGTACTTTTGGCCTGACCAAATTGCACTCAAATCAGCTTCAGAGACAGAGACTGAGTAGTCGCCCGAAGTCGGATTAGCTCCGGAAGTTGAGGCAATTATGGACTTTCCGGTGACAAGTGGCTGCCCAATTAGGACTGTATCAGTTGGGTAGTCGAAGCTTTGCCAAAGAGTTCTATTTGATGTGTCCAAGAGGACGAGGTTGCCGGAATCTTTGAGTTGGAGGCCAGAAACTTCTCTGGCGAGGATTCCGGCAGACCAAGCCAGAGTTCCGTCATCTCTATACAGAGAGAAACCACCACGAGTTAAGCTCAATTGGCCGAAATTTGAGATCGGTGTGTCTCGATCGGCCGACCATATGAGGCGGTTGGAGGAGGTGTGGAGAACGCAGAGGTAGAAATTGTTATCACCTGCTGGATTGTAGATTGAGGCGCTGTATGTGTTGTTAATCGAGGATAAGAAGACTCCGCCATTGTCAACGAAATCGAGGTTGGTTGCTGTGAAATTGGGGAAGATGAGGTTTGAGAAGATGGGGCCGCATATGCAGAGATGGGGGAGGAGAGAGAAGATTAGATACAGGCTTGGTTTTGAAGACCCCATTTGTAGAGAGAGAAAGGCCTTACTGGATGGCAATCAGTGAGAGGATTGTAGAGAGAGAAAGTTCTAACGGCCTCTGGTTAGAGAGAAGGGCTTCACATAAGAAAGAGAAAGCCATGTTTGGAAGGGCTTCTAAGGCTGAGTGGGTATTGGCCCATCTCTTACTCATTTGTGTCAGTTGTCCATTATTTTAATATTTTATATATCAGGCATTGACTTGAGAATTATTCAATGTATTGGTGTGGTGTGTCTTATATGATTAAGGTGCTTGCAATTAATTAAATAAATGTTGGGAGTTAGGGGAGAATAATAGCAAGATAATCTTCCCATCCCACTCGTTGCCTCACCTAGGTAAACGACATGTATAAAGTATAATTTCCCAACTTCCACTTTCACTTTTGTAGTACAAATGTAGGGCTACCGATGGCCGGGAAGTCGACCACGCCTGGGCCACAATTTTATGGTCTGGGAACTGGGTAGAGTTGGTGCAGGCCTTTTCGGCGCTGACTTACCTCTTTTTCTTTCATCATTGAGTTTTAAGTTGGCCGAGCCCAGCCCTTGTCTGGGGCGGGGGTAAGGGCCGGCCAAGGCCAGCCCTAGCCCCTCAGCCTCAGCCCTAGCCTCGAGGGAGGAAAAAAAAAAATTTTTTTTTTTTTTTGAGTAATTAAGTGGGAAAGACAATGTCATACCCCTTTTTTTGGATAATTTAGTAGGAGTTAGTTTTTTTAGAGTGATTTACGAGTAGAGTTTTTTTAGAGTGATTTACGAGTAGACTTTAAAATTTTAAATAGGATATAAAATGTTCTATTTATAGGCAGAAATTATAAAAAAATTAGATTTTTTTTTTTTTCAAAATTATCTAGCCAAATCTTTTTTCTTGTCTTTTTTTTTTTAGTCTTTTCGTTATTGGGGTAGTGCCTTAAAGCTTGAGACACTGCCCTACTAATGAAAAAACTAAAAAAAAAACTTAAACAAGAAAATCGAAATTCAGATTGACCGAAGAATAATTTTGATAAAAAAGGTGGATTAACCGATTTTTTTTGTAATCTCTTCTCAAACATTTTATATTTTGCCTAAAATTTGAATATCCCTAAGTATATCACTTTTTTTAAAAAAAATTAATGAGGTAGCATAAGTAGTGATAATTTTAAAAATATATTAGTAAGGTGGTCAGTAAAGTAGCGTAAATAGTAAAAATAGGTACGACAACTAGAGTGTAAGGTGTTACCTCATCAATTCCAACCTCTTTCCCAAGGTGGAGAGGATTTTGGAATAAAAAGGGCAAGAGAGATGAAATGAGCATTCATTATATGGATTGACAGTAAGGAACGGCTGAAGTCCACTTTTTCCTACTATTTGGTGACTTTTATCTTTATCGTAAGTGGATGTGAATGTGAAGAAAAAAACTCGCATGGTCATCTTTTGCGTGTTAGAATCCCACAGCCGCTTTCAATACAGCTTTTTAAAGAAGGATGTGGTTTCCATAGGTCGGCAGCCTATTTTATTGCTGTAGGCTTCTACACAATCACGATGGCGTAGATTTTTTTCACATTCTCATGAGGGAATCTATATGAAAAAACACGTTGGGACTGTCTTTCCTTCCCGACTAAATTACTCTATATATATATATATATATATATATATATATAATAA